TAAATCTAATGTTAAAAAAAAAAAATCTCCTTGGTTTTGGGTTTTTTTTTTCCATTTTTCTTTTTGGTTTAACTGCTTGCTCTTCACAGCTTTCACCTCACTACTGATTTTCTTCCATGAAAACTAAAGAATTTAGCCCACCAAGTTCACTCCAAAGAAACAAGCAGGAAAAAGTCTCGATGCCTTGCAGCTAGAGTAAAAATAGATTGTTCCTAATTGGAAAGCTAAATGGAACACAAACAACCCCCATCCCCATGCCTAAGAGCAGATGTCACAACATCTGAAACTCCACGAGCACAGCTAGCACGGAGCAGAGGCAGCGAATCGTCTACAGAACAACCCAAAGAATAATCAATGTGAGTGAGAGTTTCAATCTGAGTAAAGACCCAAGAGGTGCAGGACGTTATAACATCTACGTTGCCCATTATGCACCAAAGGGAAAAGCAGGTTCCAATAGGAAACACTATGAAAGTTGTAGAATGAAAGAGCTCCAAAACCAGCTAATTAGACCTAGAAAATCAACTCGGTGCTTAGGAAACACTGAATGCCCCTCTGCATATGTTGTACTAGGTGGTACCCGGAATATGCAGCCCCCTTCCTTGGAAGGCTTATGTTCACATGTCCCTTAGTGGTGGGTGGCAGGGACAGCAGGAACATACCGAGATGGACCCCAGAAATGCTCTAGGGCCAAGGAGATGCTACAAAATACAACATCTCACCCAGGAGTCTCTATGTTTAAATGAGCAGAGCCTGGCACCAGTGAGACCCAAACCCTGAAGCGCTCAAACTAAGGAAACTCCTCTGCCTTAGGGTCTCCCTTCATGCTGCGCTGCCTCACAGCAACGTCTTGCCCCGGCCCCCTGCACTACAGCAGCGTCCACCCAAGCAGCGTGTGGGATGTGGGAGCTGCAGAGCGGTGAAGACAGTAATGGAATAGGGTTTGCTGGTTTATTTGGCTTTTATCTTAACCTTCAGAATAAGTTCAGCCCCTCCCTAGTTAAAAGATCCCCGAGCACAATGGTATAGGCTGAGGCTGCCAAGGAAGAGATCAGACCGCTTCTTTTTTCTCTTTGCTGCAGACAAACTCCTATCAGGATGGTAACTCCCTTCGTAGAATGAAAACACATATTATTTTTCTTCCAGCGTAACCACTGATACACTCCTGGGGTAGAAGAGGTGGGAGGGAAAAAATTACAGCAAACTGCTAAAGGAGCAAGTGTCACGAGGAATTAGCAAGTCTGGGTGTCTTTGCATGGGTGCTCGCACAGGGAGAGCGACGTCTCTATCTTCGCAGCCCTATCACGGCGGTACTTAACTGCTCTGGGTGGTATCTGTCGGTGTCAGACAGCTGGCAGCATGTATTTATGTAATTCCACCGGGCACGCAAAATAGAGATTTTTCAAAGACATAAAAATCAGTAAACCACTTCACTGCCTTCTGAGACTTTGAAAATCTTTTAGAGTACGCTAGCTTTCAGACTGGATGGCAAAGCTGCCTTAATCCCCCCACACACGTTAGTCCTGATCCTCCGCACGCATCTAAACAAATTACAGATCGTGACACTGGAAGATATAAAATCTTTTCAACTACACTGGGACTTTGATCTGTTGCTGCCTAGCTATCCAGCACTGGGAATCAACCAGTGTCGAAAGGTTTGCAAGCAACCTTACTTCCATGAGTATGTATTCCTTAAAATTGCACCCAAGGATGGAATTTCCCCAATAGCATCACTCCGAAGTACCGTGCAACTTTCCTAAGGGAGCCGTGGGCATGCAGGTACCCAGACACCCAGACGACAAGCAGTGGGGTGGCATGCACGTGTGCCAGCTGCACGTACCGGTACACCGCACCCCACACTCACTCACAGAGTAGAGGGGCAACAGCATCCCTCCGCAGCCACCTCTAGTCCATCTTCCACAGCCACCTCTAGTCCATCTTCCGGCAAGTTACTCCATTTAAAAGAGCAAACGCACTGGACGGACACTAATGGCACGTTTTATCTGACAAGTGAATGTGAAAAAGGTTTAAAGAGCTCCTTCAAAGAGAATGTGGGTTCTTGTGTCAGGGGAATAGCCAGCTAATCCCAGATGTTCAGGGCCTGCAACCACAAGCATCTGCCACCCATTGTGAATTGTAGCTCCAGGCAGTTCAAAAATTAGCAGATTGGTTTCAACGAAGTGCATATTTGCAGTCTGCCCTGGAAAGAAGCGAGCATAAATACACGGGTGCCAAATTCAGAACACATTTACACAAGGGTAGCAACCAACGGGCTGCTTTGCTGAGATGTATTTGGCCAGTCACATCTACCACCGAGGTCAGCGGCAGCCCCAGTTCAGAGAGCCCGAAACCTGCTGGGCTGGCGGGGCAGCCCCCAGCCCACCCGGGCAGCAGTTCATGCCCAGCTCGCTGCCCTTCGGACGGCGCTGGCCGGGCTCCAAGCAGCCTCTTGGCGTGCAAACGGCAGGCACGGACACCGTGTGCCATCTGAGATACTTCAACTCACAGATGCAAAGCTGAAGAGGGGTCCAGACAAATACTGATGCAGCATTTCTGTGTGCAGCACAGCTGGGATATGTTTTACCACCAGGCTCTGATCCACTTCTCCTTTAAAACTACTCAAGGGACTTGGACTTGTAGCTTGTCACAGGCAGTTTATTCTGGGCACAGACTGCAAGGTGAGGTAAGAAAGTCACTGAGCAAGTAACACAGGGAACGATACTCCCTGGCGTAAGGGCTCTGCAGAAGCGTTGCAGCACCGATGGCCAGGCAGTCAGTGGGACAAGAGAAGCCGATCTGCAAGCAGAGCTCAAAGTTCAGGGCAGTGAGATAATCCTGGCACGCGGCAGTGCACCTAGCTGGAGTCTGCTAAGAAAATTCCGCTCACCAGTAATTGCATTATTAAGTGTGATGAATTATATTTCTGGTTTTCAGTTTTTATTACTGGAGAAGTTTCAGATGGCTATAGGAACCGGGGCTGGCATGTGGGAAAGAAAACAATCCACCGAGTGATGGGACCGCAGCGCTGAGCCCGCGGGCAGCACCCCGCAATCAGGCTATTCCAGGGCAAGGTCTCGGAGGAAGGCATGTTCCCAGCTATCTCCTGCTTTTCCTCCAGCCCTACCAGTATCACCTTTTATCTCCAGCACGCTACAGAGAGACGCTGGCAAAGGGAGGACAGGGTGTGGGTGCGAGCTGTCCCCTCCCTTGGCACCCGCGCCAGCTACTCGGCACAAACCCCGGGGAGGACCCTGGAGGCAGCCGACACAAGCCATCTGGGTGAAGAAATAACACTGCTCCCAGCCATGTGGCAAGTCCACCCCACGAAGAGAAAGGAGCTGCTCAAATTCCACCCCTGACCACAGTGTCCGGCTGTACAACACCCCAAAGGCGGTGGCACAAAGGAGCTCGCAGAGATCAGACCACGTTCCTCACCGTACCCGATAACAACACCAACCCGCCGTGGGTTGTATGACTGAACCTCAAGGCCGTGGTACTTCTTATGCACCTGCTAACAAAGACGTTGCTCCAGCACAAGCAAATACCCCGGCTACATGCATGCACTTGTGCACTGACAGCAGGTAAATACAAATTGGCAGCTGTCTGCAGCTTCTGGAGGGCCATCAAGGTGACCTGCTGGGTTGAGGAGCCTGAGCATCCCCCTCGCGCTCCTTTTTTAAAAGCCCCGAAGGAGCCACATCTCATTGTCATTACACCTAATAAAAATCTGGTTTATTCATTTAAAATTGTCAAAACACACTTTGTAAAAGTAATGAGACGTTCCAGGTCCACTCGTTCCAACACACACACAAATTGGTTAGTTAAAGGAAACCGGTTTAGGAGATAGAGACACACAGAGCTAAGAGATTTCTGCTCTTCATGCTGGAAAGGACTAAACACGTGCCTTTAAGGACCCCCCCAGCCTCCTCACACTGATGGTAAACAAACATTTCTGTGTGGAAACTTCCACTCTTTACAGGAGTTTCTTCGGCCAGAACATGTTTAATGCAGGTTTGCAGAGCTGGACCTGCTCTGGCACGGAGGTTCTGTCAGTGGAAGAGTAAAATCTTTTCTCCCTCCTCCTCATGGGCAGAGGTTTCCTGCACTGGAGCAAGGCAATGCCCCCAAGAGTTTTGGAGGATCAGGGGAAGCACTCGCACCGAGCCTTGGGGACCTACAAGCAAGAGTCAGGAAAGCACGTGCCACACAGACTGCCCAGACCCTGCCAGCCCCAGACAATGCTGGGGAGCGCTGGTCCAGCCACCTCTAACCCCGGGCAGTGCCAAGAGAGCTGCTACAGACAAAGCTTGCACGCTGGCTCCATCTGCCATCTTGCAAATCAACCATCTGGGGAAAAAAATTGCAGAACAGAGCACTTAGTTTATTAAACAGTAATGACAGCATGCACATATACAGGCTGATATATCAATCCTAATTTAAGGAAAGCTAATGAAGTGCAGTTTCTCTTTGCACAGCTTAAGGAAGCCTAATTAAAGCAGACCAGCGTATCTGCAGAGCAGTTAGTCTTTTTACCTTTAACAGGGCCTAAAATAAATGGCTAGTGCAGCAGTAGAGATGTGATAAGTGGTCTGTTGGTGAGCTGGAATTACTGTCCTGGTAATTAAAATGTTCACAGATCACAGGACTGCAACAGCAGTTTGTTTTGCCTTGTGCAAATACATACATCTATGCAAAGGTATTCACAAGAATCAGCAGAGAAAATAACTGTACCCTTGCTGCTGCAAGGTTTGGTAGAGTATTTCAATTTTTGCCAGCTAAACTGTTCAGAATTCAACATACCAGAGTTAGCCATAAAATACAAACACCTATGACACAAGGAGATGACAAGGCCCAGTGGTC